CCTAAAATACAGAACCGTTCCCGTTTCCCTTTAAACGTTATTGTGGCATCAGCGCTCTTTTAACGAGTTAGTAACACAGCATGCGCTAGCAAACAACAACGCCGATAGAAGGGCCGTATGTGTTTCCATGCGTGACCCCAGTACTCAAAAAAGCCACAAAAGTGCATTGAAAATTTGCTTTGGACTAATGGGTTATGATACATGATAATGATATATTATAGAAAAAAAAACACGCAAAATAATGTTTGAAAATGTTCAGTTACCACGCAGCAAGCGCTGCGTTCGTCTGCTCTTTCTTGTAGTCCTCCCTTTCGTGCATTTCACTCCACCGTTCTAAAAATATACTTCCCAGGAGGATTCCAGAAAAGGCCTTCTGGCAGCTGCAATTCTAAATGTCTGATGCTACAAAGTAGTCCCTCGTCCCGTATATTTTTTTATATTCCTTTTTACTCGTTTTTTTTTCTTTTTTTTCTCGGTTTCCAAGACTCTTTTCAGTTGATCCGAGCGACGAAAACCTCGCATACGTATAGGAGACAAAAGACACAAAAAAGAAAATCAAATAATCAGAAGTCACCTCGTGGCCAGGAACACTCTTTCAGGTGCGAGCGCGTCTGCAGCGCGTCTAGCAAGTTTAACGATTCTTAAGCGAATACGCCAATTCGTTGCAAAAATATATTTAAAAAAGAGGAAGAATATGCAATGCTGTGTTTGAATGGCCCTGGCACGCGGTAAAGGTAGAAGAAAGCCTTCATCTTCTACGTCATCTACGGAGAGTCGGCGCGGCTCACATATTCGACACGAGTACCTCGAGCGTTAGCATTTTCTCGTCTCCTGACAGAACGCAAAAGTGACGCCTTTGTTTTTACTCCCCTGGATACAGAGAGGAATGACTCCTTCCTTTGTCTTTTTTTCTTCTTCCTGGCGGTATTCGAGCATAAAATTTTAACTAAAACTACTAAAAAGTTTGCACGCGAATACAGCCGACAAAAAGGAAAGAAAGAAATGAAAAGTTTTTCACCGAACAGGCATTTCCTCCTTACTCGAGTCGCAGCGAGCGGATTGCACGTGAAACAGCAAGACAGCTAGTCTAGCCGCCCGACTGTTGGATCGCAGCTCTCAGCCATCGAGCGGTCGTGGGCTAGCGCGCAATTTGTGTAAGCATGTTTGAAGCAGCATTGTTCGCGTATTTATACGTATACCTGCAGTCTTGAGCATGGTAACGCGTTACTTTCTTTGTAACTTTTAACAGAAGGAGTTACTTCTTTACCTGTATCTAATGTGTAACAGTAGTTATGCAATTACTTTTGCTGGAGTAACAACTAGAGTAACGACGTTACCTTTGATGTTACTTGTCACAGTTTCTCAAGCATTGAGATATCGTTGAATGAGTACGATCTATAGCCACTCGTGGTCATTCCGACAATTCCAGTGTCACGTTCGTCTTGTGCAAACATGCGCAAACTTTACTTGAACTTTCTGTAAGAAACTTAAGGGAAAAGCGGGGGTCTACTTTTTTTTTTTTTACTCAGACGGATGTTCGTCGGTGTATTTCGGTTACTACCGGGAAAAACCACAAATCCTCCTGGGTAGAGCGTATATTTTATCCCGAAACTACTGCGTGAACTTCAGTCTAATGACACCCGGCGTTAGGAAGAGTCCTAGGGTTACCCGACAGGCGGCGCCAGCGTGCCAGCGTGTTCTTTCGTCCTACGCGGTTAGAAGGGGGCACCGATTCCAATACCACATAGCAGACAAGACCGACGTATGACGTCACATTTAATGAATCACCGACCCAGTAAAAAAAAAGTCCGGCTTTTCGCGAAGCATCACTTATCCCTCCTTCCATTTTATGTATAGAGAATTAAGATATACGCAGGTGCATTTTAGATTATAATACATATGCCATCTTATCAAGACGAACACGTTTCAAATGCCAAAAGCATCGCTTGTTCCTTCGACAACCACATCTTGTAAGAACTACTTCGCGCCGCGTATGAGCAATGCGCAATACTTTCATTTTCTCGAGCAAGTCGCCGCCCTCGCTCTCAAACGTACACGTGTGAACTGTGTGAACCCACCAAGAGCAGAACACACGTGGGAAGGGGTTAACGCATGTACACACGGAGACTACAAGAAAAAGTATTGCACTGTTATATATATATTTTTTTTCGTTGTTGTTGTTTTTTTGTTTTTTTGCAAAAAGAAATTAGGCATTATCGAACGCTCCTATTCCTCCTGCCCAGAGTTATAGGAAAACAAAAGCGCCCCTGGCGACTTCCTCTCACCGCGAATAGGTGGAAACAAACAACGACCGCTGCCAAAGGCAGGGTAATTTCCTCGTACAAAGTTTCCGAAAATCGCTTCTAACTTATGAATTGGGTAACTTTCAAGTTCTAAAGCATTTCGTAAACCGCCACGTTCTCAGCAGCGAAATCGCGCTGCTACTGTGCGTGCGCGAATCTATAACTTTGCCCACAGAGTTCCGGTTCTCTTAGCGGGTTCCGGACAGCGTTGCGGGATGGCGGAACCGATCTATACACAAAAAACTCCCCTAATGGTATTTCATTCGAACCGATAGCGTATACCTTCCGATGGAATTTTAGCGCTTGGCAATCCGCAGTTATCATTTTTTTTTGGATGTTGTTGTTGTTGTTGTTGTTGCGAAAGCTGCACAGTCTGCTCTTTTCGATCGGAGCTGCTCAGATCAAGTTGGAGTCCACAAAGAGCGGAGTTGAAATCCCGGTTCGTGCACATTTAACGGGGAGTTGACGAACTTTACAAAGAGCGAACCACATGAACCTCTGCGAACTAATCGGAGCAGCAGAGCGATGCACGTGACAGCTCTTCACGGCAGAGGAAACCTCCTTGAGATTGTGGAAAATGGACAATGCCACCTGCTAGAACTATAAAGGGGCCAGACACCTTGCCAGGCATCGCGGCAAGCGGGAAATCCACTTTACGCTCCGTTCGTGATGACGTCGGTTGTGGTTGCGGCTCGCGAGCAAACCCGTTCAGATACACGGCGTGGTTGGCGGTTTCTCGGCGATCACGCGTGATCTTTCGAGACTCGCGTTTGGCAACCTTGTTTCACAATTCGAAATCTAGTTTAATCTACGACCCAGAGCCGAAATTTAGCTATTTTGGTACTGGAGGGGGTTTCTTCAAGATGTTCGCGCACATCACGAGTCGACTCGCAAAACTTCGCGGTCTCCTCGACTTCGCCCACAAGCAAAGCCCAGGTAGGCGCGCCTTGCTGACTCAGAACAGGATGCGTCCGACCTTTTCTTCGAAGTGAACCCTTCCCGCATGAATAGCTCACCTTGTTTCTGAGGAGAGAGGGGCGGTTTTTCACCCTCGTTCGCTCTTATCATTTTCGGGGTAGTGGGCGGCACTGGTGGACCGTGGTGCGGGGCATGTGTTCGGTGCTCTGCGGTCGAGGCTTCGTTGGTGGCGGACTCTCCTCTCGTCACTCACACATCGATAGAGTCCGCTGTTTGTTTTAAGCTCAAATAAACACCGCTTGGATTACCTATGCATCGTCTGGTACGTACGCTTTATTTCTTGGATAGGTTCCCTTTATTCTTTTCAGTAGTAAAAAGGTTACAGGTCGAGCTAGTGCTGGTACCCTGCCAGCTCCGCCGTTCTGGTGGTTACGCAATTAGGCTTGGTGTCGAAAGCTTTCAGTAGTTCACGCGACTGTGGGTACAAAAGCTATCATTTCGGTCGATTGAACTAGCTTGCCCGAACCTAACCAGCGGAGGGAAGCCTGTTAACATTACGTCTCAATTATTTCCGCGGCGGATTCAAGTCACGGACGTGAACATCAGGGTTGTTCGTTCATTTGTCTGCTGCCAGCAGTGCCAGGAGTACAGCGCCTTGGACGCCTCACCAGCGACACATGCCACCTTGTTTCGAAAGTCAAAAGGCGTCACGTCAACTTTGAGTTGTTATTGGTTGAAATCGGTCCCGAAGCTGTTGGCAGAAACGCTGCCCAACCACTCGATCCCATCCACTTTGAGGTTAAGAACGCGCGGATCCGTTTAGAGGTTGCGGATTCGCTTCCAGTGTGAACGTGCCATAACTGTAGTTACCATAGCAGCCGTCCCCCTTCCCCCCCCCCCCCCCCCCCCAAAAAAAAAAAAAAAAAAATGGCGGTTAGAGTAATTTGCGAGCGGTCAACGCGGAGCGTAAGTTCGTCTGCTTCTTTTGCAGCGGTTGCTGTGACGCCAGAACTACGCCCAGCTCCGATCGCAAGAATAGTGGGTAGACCTCAAAGCATGCTGCCTTGAGGTCTACCCACTATTCTTGAACCAGAGCCAATCAGAGCTTGGCGTTTTGACGTCGTCACAACCCCCGCAAAAGAAGCAGACGAACCTACGCTCCGCACACCACCTAAAAGACAGGGTCTACACGGGTTACGTCATCGATCGCTGGTTCCCCGGCCCGTCCCAAGCGGCAAACGCGCTGAAGCGCGACGAAAGCCGCCGGAAAGCGGCAGGCGCGTTCGTCTCGGCGTCCCCACTTGATATGCGCAGCGCAAGTTTGTCTGCTTCTTTTAGTAGGGGTTGTGGTGACGTCAGAGGGACGCCGAACTCTTATTGCCTCTGATCTAAAGGATAGTGGATAGAGCTCAGGGCCCCTAGCATTGGGGTCTACCCGCTATCCTTCAATCAGAGAAATCAGAGCTCGGCGTCCTGACGTCACCGTGACCCCCGCAAAAGAAGCAGACGAACTTGACGAACTGACGCGAGCTATATAGGCGGCGCGTATAGTGAACAAAAAGTAAGGGCGCAAACGAGCTGGTGTACATTGCACATGGTTGAAAAAACCCCGAGACTGCGGGTAAAACGACACAACACTAAAAAGTCTATAGTAGAGACTTTTTAGTGTTGTGTCGTTTTACCCGCAGTCTCGGGGTTTTTTCAACCACGCGTATAGTGGATGGCGACGTTTGAAAGGAAAAGGAGCGAAAAGGTTCTTGTTTGGGGCGACCCGCTCACCCTTCTCGTCGTCCTTGCCCCAGATGCAGTGGTAGAGCCAGCAGTGCGGGGTCACCACGCAGACGGTGACCAGGATGGTGGCGGCCACCAGGCCCGCGCACGACGCCACCAGCATCAGCTTCTGGGCGTCCGAGAGCTCCAACATGGCTGCTGCCGGGACGTCAAGCGCTCGCTCGACTAGTCCTCCGGGCCTTGCCCTCGCCGCCTGCTCTGGGTCGTACGGAGGCTGCGCACAATCGAGGCAATAAAGGCAAACATCAAAATGAAGCTGCATATTTGTTTTTATCAAGAAGACACGGCGTAAAAATATAGGCCAACTCCGGTCTTTGACGTCACGTCACTGCAGTGGCGCTGTTGTCGGAACCCCCCCCCCCCCCCCCCCTTACTAGTTACTATCTCGGTGATTGAATTTGGGGGGGTGCTACCAAAGACCTAAGGGCCCTGGGAGCTGGGTGGCCTCCTACGCCACTGCCCGAGCTACACCCGAATGCTCGTCGAGGCATTGTCACAAAAGAAATGCTATCGCATTTAAGAACAGCCGTGGAAAAAGAAGGAACACGACACCTTTACAGCGTTCAAAAGAGCCGCACCGTCGAGCGGCGAATGCTCGCATACGTCCAGTTTTTGTTTAGTTTTCCGCACATGTGTGTGTCTCGAGGGAAACCGACGCAGCGCTGTACGGTCCGCCGACTCAGATTTGTTTGTATCTTGCAGTAACATGTTATACAACACATCACTGCCCATAGAAAACGAAAGTCGATTGACCGTTTTCTTTCGGCGACGTCACGGAGGCACACAAAGATGATCTGGTCGACGTATCCATTGAAAATGAACGAGTAACGATGAATACAAGACTCCGGCACATATACTGTCAAAACTGACAGAACTGCAGAAGTTCAGGAATGAGGAGAGAAACGTTAACTTCGAAAACAAGATTCCGAAGCTATTCAGCCATCACATATTTGGAAAGCTATAACCGTTATACTGCACTGTTTGAGGCCTACATGAATATGACAAGATTAGCTGCAACTGATTAACTAAAAAAAAAAAAAAAGCTGCCTGTCTTTTTGGTGTGTCCTAAAGGTGTTACAAAATGTAATGCATAGCGTTTACAAGTCAAAGTGTCCCGTGACGTCATGGTCTTACGAGATCTCGTGGCATCCGGTAACGTCGTCAGCGTGACGGTCAGCTTGTTAAATCTAGCAGGACAACGTCAGGTTGCAAATTACTGACAGAAATAATTGGTCTTTACCACTAAACAAAAGCTACGATTACTGATTTCTCTCTCTCACAATTTGGTGATAAGTGACTGCATTAGTGATGGCGAACCAGACACGGAGAATGCTGGCGACAAGAGCACCGGAGTTGCTCAAAATACCATAATCGACGAGATACCTCAAGTAACTAAAAATTCCGTAATCGGTCAGAATATGCCGTAAGCGACTGGACATACCGTAATCATCCAGGAATACCGCAGTGGCACCGGAAATATCGCAATGGACGAGAAATACCGTACGCGACCGCCAATACCTCAATAGACCAGAAATAGCCTAATAATCCAGAATAATGTATAAAAATAAACAAATAAACTCGATCAAAAATAAGAAGAAATAGTTGGAAGTTTGTGGTTGACCGTCCTTCTCGTTTTCTACAAGTGAAAAAAATAATAATATGGTCAGTTATTGCGGTTTTGTCCAGACACTTCTGTCCAGAGGGCCTTCATGTCTACAGCAGAATAGCTAAACTGAAGGCTTTAGTATTAATGAGATCAAGTTCGCGTACTGTCTATAAAAAATGGTCTCTTTCTTAATGTCATCGTTATTTAAAGCGCACGCTGAAAACATTACGCTACAGTACGCGCGGATCTGAAGTATTCCGGGTGTCCGGCAGATGGCGCTAGGGTATTCACTCGTCGTAAGTATTCGCAAGCGGCTGCCACGCAGTCGATCACACTCAAAACTAAGTGTGGGAACCAGCTGATGACTTCACCGCATGAGAAACGACGTACTCGATACACAGCGTTCCACAGCGTGTCTGACCCCCCCCCCCCCCCCCCACCCCCCACCCTACAAAACTACTGTGTATTTTTCACTGCAAATATAAACTACGCATCGGCGAACGCTCTTTCCCTACCCAAATGTAGCGCTAGTGACCAAAGTTTCAGCACTAACCGCCATAATATTCCAAAGTTATAAGTCGGACTGGGCACTTAATCGATTAACCTACCGATTAACCGATGGATGCTTTAATCGCAATTAAGTTTGACTGACAAAAAAAAAGGTAAAAACTCAACGCTTTCAGCACGCAGACGTGGATCAGTAGACCTGTATGAAGGACAAGGTAAACTTTAGGTAAACGTTTGACCTAAGGTAAACTGTAGGGTTGAGATTTGTAACTCCAAACAAGTCGAGAGGGTTATACGTGTCCCAGCCACTTCAACGCCGCGTGCGAGTGTCCGTTTAGAGCTGCACAGACTGTTGCAAACGATAAAGGGATTTCGCCATTAGCGAGTTTTAGTAGACCGTGTTTACCCCTCCGCTCAGCCCCTCCGCTACCCGAAACTCTACAGCCAAGGCCATCGGCGCGCAGGCGCAGGGTCGTTTCTTCGTAGCGGAGGGTGAGCGGAGGGGAAAACATGGTCTACTAAAACTCGCTATTGTCGGAGGATATCAGCGAACCTCTTTGTTTCTGCGGCTGAAGTGATCATTTGGGAGTGTGGTTGTTTTTTTAACGTTCTCAACTAGGCTTCAAAGTCGATTTAAAATCCCAAATTGTACGTTACTCCGCTTATCACATATTCAGCAAAAAGAAACATTCTATTTCGGCTTTTTAAAATAAGATATTATGCCTGCGAATGAATGAAACCAACTAATCGATTAAAGAATGTCGATTAATCGTGTTAAAAGTTTTAATCGACGCCCAGCTGTAGTAATAAGTGATTTTCGGAAAGAATCAATGAGAAAAATGGGGCTCCGTTTTCGACCATTTTTCAACGGGCGCGCCATTTTCACATTGAAAATTTGAGAAAATCATTTGTAATTTTAATTGTAATGCTGCGTCGCGTGATGACAGCGCAGCAGAGGCTGGTTGCACTATTTCTCCACAGGGCGCGGTGCCGCCGGGGCCGAGATGCGCTCCGACAGCAAACCGAAACTTAAAAACCCGTCGAATTTGTACGGTTCTTCAGAAAGTCGTAAAATGCCGCGCGTGCCTTCTATCGTTCTGCAATTTGTTGATTAAGTGTTTTTCGATGATGCTGAGCAATTTTCTAATTGAAACCATGCCCATAAACACAATATTAAAAAAGGTTAATTACGCAAAAATAATGAACAATCTAATTATCCCGGACTTCAATAATTTTCCTAAATAGGCTCCTGGTCCAGGACCAAATCGACACAAGTCTTATTTTGCTGCAACGCGTAGTTTTCGCAATATCGAATTTTTCCACCTTTCGTGAAAAACTCCAACCGCATATCAAACGCTAAAATGCGACCGAGCCAATCAAACAGACCCAAAAGTGCATCGTCACGGCGAACGCTGTCTTTGTGGCTTTGCTGTCGCCAACAAAATCAATCAAAACCCTCCCCCCCCTAAAAAACAAACAAAAAAAAAACAAAAAAAAAAACAAGCATTTTTTTGCACGCGATTGGTCTAGCTCGTGATAGGATATGCAATACGCACTGAGACGACAGGCTCCGATCGAATGACCCTTCTCTTGGCCAAGCTTGATTGGTTACATCGGATGCAATAGCGTCGCTGCGGTCGGGCTCGCCTGGGAAACGAAGCACAGATAGATATATGGGAATTCTAATTTTACCATTGCGACGCGAAACAGAAAGCACGAAGGACGCTGCCGCCCGCTGCCCTGCCCCCCCCCCCCTTCCTCCTCCCCTCCTCCCCCCCCCCCCACCCCCCACCACCTTCGACAATAGGCGCAGCCACGGCGGCTACGTATACGCGCGTTATACGATTCGCGATTACGATCAGAAACCGCTTTCCGTCCTCCTCTTTTTTTATTTTGGGTTACATAAGTATACATCTGAAACCAACGTTACAAAAACTCAGTTGGGAAACTGTCACAGAGTCTGCTTCGAAAAGTGGCTTCGATCCGTGCTCGAGAACCGAACTAATGGCGATCTCGATGCCGCCATCTCTCCCGCAGCGGCCACTACGGGAACTCCTCGTCTGCGTTCATGAGGTGGTATTGGTTCATGCCCCTCCGTGATCCCCAAGCGAGTCGCGCGAGGGCCGGTGGCTCCACCTCGCAGTGCCATTTCGCAATAGCAATATAAATGAACTTTCGTGCTTTCACTAGTCGCTAAAGGGTGGCGCTGATATCGTATTGAGTTTGGTCTCAGTGGACGCGAGCGGTCCGGGTTTCGAGGGTCAGTTTCCCAACTGAGTGTTTTAGTAACGTTGCCTTAAACTTTGCTTCAGCTTAAGTCCAGGCGCAGCCGACGCTACGAGCTGATGGAACCAATCAAACAACGTCGTAAGCGCGAGTCGCTAGGCTGTTATTTTTTTGTACATGATTGGTTCAGCGATGATAAAACTCACTCAGAAATACGTGGAACTTCACGATGGTGCGCATTTGAGGATGTATGATAGGTCCCACCAGCTCGCAGCGTCGACTGGGCCCGAACTTAGGGTGAAACGAAGTTGGTCCCTTTCCCTCTTGTGCAAAGTCAGGGACGAACTTCTTTGTCTTGTACTGCTCCTGCTCCTTTCAAGCATCGGCAGCATTTGAGTCCCGTTTTAAGTATACGTTAAATGTAGGCAGCAAACTTTCACCAGGGAAAAAGCAACAGATAACATCCCCTGTGTCCAAAACACAAAATGTATTCAAATCGAAAGACCAATTTATTGAAATGTTTCCTAAAGCTAGGATAGCTTTTTGTCAAAACCCTCCGCTCTTAGACTAGAAATCCTGGTTTTTCATTAGTTTTACAGCGGAGCTGTTAAGGGCTAGTTCCCCCAGTATGGTTTTCGTCAGCAAACAAATTATGACACGAAACTCTGAACAGCTACCGCTTATAAACGCGTCGGCGGCAACCAGACAACCCGCTTGCCGGTTGTCTGGTTTCCGCCGTCGCTTATAGATGGCGGCAACCTTTCGAGCCTTTGCACTCTGGCGTGCCGACTTGCGGCCGGCCATTACACCGTTCTCACCATAGTACAGCTTCGCCGGTCTTCCTTCTTCATCGGAGCGGAAAGGCTGAAAGTTTT